CCTGAGAGACACAACATGCAGAAGATTCTAGAAGTCACCAAGAAGATGATGGAGCTGCTGACAGGAGAGGTGAGCGGTGCCGGGAATTCTGGGGACATTCTCCAATCACTGATAGTATCATTAGGATCTGTACATTATCTGCATTGTTACCATTGATGTCATTTTGTATTATATATTCAGAGTGGAAACCTGAGAGATTCTAAAGTTGAGGTTAAAGAAATAGTAAAAGAGGATGAGGATGAGGATGGGGGGATGGAGGAGTCAGAGCTTCTAAGAGAATGCAAATATCTGTACCAGGACACCATGGTGGAGTCATCCAGCTACAGGAACCCACCAGAGAGATGTCCCCGTCTTCTGTATTCCCGGGATTCCACACAGGAAGATCACACCATCCCTCACCATCATCAGGTAGATGAGGAACAATCACTGATAGTATCATTAGGATCTGTACATTATCTGCATTGTTACCATTGATAGGATTTGTATTATGCATTCAGAGTGGAATCCTCGGGGATGAGAATATTGTTGTTGAAGAGGAGGATGAGGAGTATGGAGTGATGGAGGAGTTTTCAGAAGGACACAAGGATATGATGGAGCCACCTAATACCAAGAACCCACCAGAGAGATGTCCCCGTCCTCTGTATTCCTGGGATTCCACACAGGAAGATCACACCATCCCTCCCCATTACAAGGTTGGTTGTACGGAGCATCTAGAACAGGGGTGGGCAAACTTTTTTTGACTTGAGGGCCGCAATGGGTTCATATATTGGACCCGGGGGCCGGACCAAGAGTAGATGAATGATGTGTATGTGTCATCCATAGTAAGTATAGTAATATTCCCCCATAGTAAGTATAGTAATTAATCCCCCATATAGTAATTAATCCCCCCATATAGTAATTCATCCCCCATATAGTAATTCATCCCCCATATAGTAATTCATGCCCCCCATATAGTAATTCATCCCCCCATAGTAATTCATCCCCCATATAGTAATTCATCCCCCATATAGTAATTCATCCCCCATAGTAATTCATCCCCCATAGTAATTCATCCCCAATATAGTAATTCATCCCCATAGTAATTCATCCCCCATATAGTAATTCATCCCCCATAGTAATTCATCCCCCATATAGTAATTCATCCCCCATAGTAATTCATCCCCCATATAGTAATTCATCCCCCATATAGTAATTCATCCCCCATAGTAATTCATCCTCCATATAGTAATTCATCCCCCATATAGTAATTCATCCCCCATATAGTAATTCATTCCCCATAGTAATTCATCCCCCATAGTAATTCATCCCCCATATAGTAATTCATCCCCCATAGTAATTCATCCCCCATATAGTAATTCATCCCCCATATTAAGTCCCCAAGTCCCCCCTGTGTCAATTCACTTACCTTTGCTCCGCGCGTTCCTCTCGCCGTGTTCCAGCGCCGTTCCAGTGTAGCATGAAAATCTGTCTCCTATGAGGATCTGTCCCCCTCGACGTATCTGCGCATGTGCCAGTTTCAGGCATTAGCAGCCGATCGGCGATCTCCGGCACATGCGCAGATACGTCGAGGGGGACAGATCCTCATAGGAGACAGATTTTCATGCTACACCGGTCTTCAGGGCGGACTGTGAGAGGAGCCTAGCGGGAGCCTAGCTCCACGGGCCGGATTAAAAGGTCCGCTGGGCTGTATACGGCCCGCGGGCCGTAGTTTGCCCATTGCTGATCTAGAACATGGATTTGAAGAGATAATATGTGGATTTTTCATGTTAGCTTATATTTATATATTATGTGAAATTTCTAATTTTCATGATTTAGGGTGAAGATCTGATAGATATAAAAGTTTGAGGGTAAAGCAGAAGAAGAAGAGGCGTATGTGAGGGATGATCAGCAGTCTATGGAGGAGGATGGAATAACGGGGACATTTATAGAGGAGGACACTCCTACAGAGATCAGCACAGGTGGGTCATGAACACTAAATCCATTCCTCCACCCATACTGCTCACTGATTGGTCCAGAGTAGAGCAACACTTGGCAATATCAGTCTGTAAGACACAATTTTATGTAACTAGACTGGATTTTTGGAGATTATGGGGTTCAGCTGCCTGCAAAATGTTGATTTTTTTACCATTAGCTTTAACCTAGGCACTGGGACATGTATTTTGGGGTCTTCGGCCCCATACCTGGTTGTAGCAAGATCTCTGACAGAGCAAGTCCCCCAGGGTTACTTTTTGTTTGTCTACTGGCTGTGCCGGGTGGAGGGATATGTCTGTAGTGTCTCAGACCCAAGTCACTGAGTGCAGTCTCAGGAGATGGGAGGCAGCGGTGTGGGATCTCTGCAAACTTGTCTACAGTAAACATTTAATATTCCACTGATTACTGAATACCAATATTATGACTCCTGACCCCTGCACTGTATACTTTATGGTGTACATTCTATACTCCTGACCCCTGCACTATGTACTCTATGTTGTACATTACATACTCCTGACCCCTGCACTATATACTCTATGTTGTACATTACATACTCCTGACCCCTGCACTATATACTCTATGTTGTACATTACATACTCCTGACCCCTGCACTATATACTCTATGTTGTACATTACATACTCCTGACCCCTGCACTATATACTCTATGTTGTACATTACATACTCCTGACCCCTGTACTATATACTCTATGTTGTACATTACATACTCCTAACCCCTGCACTATATACTCTATGTTGTACATTACATACCCCTGACCCCTGCACTATATATTCTATGTTGTACATACATTCTCCTGACCCCTGCACTATATACTCTATGTTGTACATTACACACTCCTGACCCCTGCACTATATACTCTGTTGTACATTACATACTCCTGACCCCTGCACTATATACTCTGTGTTGTACATTACATACTCCTGTCCCCTGCAGTATATATTTTATGTTGTACATTACATACTCCTGACCCCTGCACTATATACTCTATGTTGTACATTACACACTCCTGACCCCTGCACTATATACTCTATGTTGTACATTATATACTCCTGACCCCTGCACTATATACTCTGTGTTGTAACATTACATACTCCTGTCCCCTGCAGTATATACTCCTTATGTTGTACATTACATACTCCTGACCCCTGCACTATATACTCTGTTGTACATTACATACTCCTGACCCCTGCACTATATACTTTATGTTGTATATTACATACTCCTGACCCCTGCACTATATACTTTATGTTGTATATTACATCCTCCTGACCTCTGCACTATATACTCTATGTTGTACATTACATACTCCTGAACCCTGCACTATATACTCTATGTTGTACATTACATACTCCTGACCCCTGCACTATATACTCTATGTTGTACATTACATACTCCTGACCCCTGCACTATATACTCTATGTTGTACATTACATACTCCTGACCCCCTGCACTATATACTCTATGTTGTATATTCCATTTTCCTGACTTCTGCTCTCCCCCTCCCCCCCACTGCTATATATACACATAATATGGATTCTATTTTGTTCCCCCCCATTTCCTCCCAGCTGGACATTTTATATCAGATGATGTGATTGGAGCACAGACTTTTACATGGTGATAATAATGTGATAACATCCTCCAACTTTGGACCCTTAAACAGAAATTGATAGGGTGGGAATTGTAAGCTCCTCAGAGACCAAGCTGCCTGATGTGGGTGGAGTCCTGGTTTGGGGGAACCAATCATCTCCTGTCTAGTAATCCTCTTTGTCTTTGTATTTTAGTCCATGGCGGGAGATGAGGAAAACCTCCGAGGATTGTCTCACTTTGTCTCCAGACTGGAAAGTAGAAGATGAGGACATCACACAGTATAGTCCAGGAGAAAACCCGGCTCCCTCCATGTGTCCATCACGGCACCACCCAGTGTAGATGGACCATCGGATTCCACGTATCCTGAGGAACCTCAGACTGTTGCAGGACCGGGCCGGCCTTCCAACAGAGAATAACTTCTCCTGTACTGAGTGCGGGAAGAGGTTCCATTCTAAATCCAATCTTAATGCGCATGAAAGATCTCACACGGGGGAGAAACCGTATTCCTGTCCTGAGTGCGGGAAATGTTTTTTCAAGGAAGTCCCATCTTTACACACATCAGAGATCTTCACACGGGGGAGAAGCCGTATTCCTGTCCAGAGTGTGGGAAATGTTTTTCACAGAAGTCCAATCTTTATAGACATCAGCGATTTCATACAGGTGAGAAAGCCGTTATTCCTGTCTTGAGTGCGGGAAGGATTTCTGTTCTAAATTCAATCTTAATGTGCATAAAAGATCTCACACGGGGGAGAAGCCATATTCTTGTACTGAGTGCAGTAAATGTTTTTCCCGGATGTATCAACTTTATAAACATCAGAGGATCTCACATGGGGGGGAGAAGCTATATTCCTGTCCAGAGTGCGGGAAATGTTTTTCAGACAAGTCCAGTCTTCACACACATCAGAGATCTCACACAAAGGAGAAGTCATATTCCTGTCCTGAGTGTGGGAAATGTTTTTCACAGATGTCCAGTCTGCACACACATCAGAGATCTCACACAGGGGAGAAGCCATATTCCTGTCCTGAATGTGGGAAATGTTTTTCAATGAAGTTCAGTCTTCACATACATCAGAGATCTCACACAGGGGAGAAGCCATATTCCTGTCCTGAGTGTGGAAAATGTTTTTCAGAGAAGTCCAGTCAACAGAGCACAGGAGAGAAGCCATATTCCTGTTCGGAGTGCGCGGATCTCTCGCTCTTTTTCAGAGATCTCACACAGGAGAGAAGCCATATTTTTCCTGTTCTGAGTGCGGGAAATGTTTTTCACAGAAGTTCAGTCTTCACATAACATCAGAGATCTCACACAGGAGAGAAGCCATATTCCTGTCCTGAGTGTGAGAAATGTTTTTCAGAGAAGTCCAGTCTGCTGAAACATCGGAGATCTCACACAGGGGAGAAGCCAATTCCTGTCCTGAGTGCAGGAAATTTTTTTCATGGAGGGTCCAATCTCTCCAACATCAGAGATCTCACACAGGGGAGTAGTCACTTCCTGTCCTGAATGAGGGAAATGTTCCTCACTGAAGTGCTGTCTTCCTGTACATCAGGGGTCCCACACAACCCTGGAGGTGTATTAGAGCCTTGAGTGCGGGAAATGTCTTCTAGATGAATGTTGCTGGACATCCCAGCTCTCATGTGGGGAAGAAGCACACCCTGATATACACCTCAGATACAGGTAAAACTCAAAAAATTAGAATATCATGCAAAAGTTCATTTATTTCAGTGCAGCAACTTAAAAGGTGAAACTAATATATGAGATTAGACTCATTACATGCAAAGCAAGATTGTTCAAGCCGTGATTTTTCATCATTGTGATGATTATGGCTTACAGCTCATGAAAACCCCAAATCCACAATCTCAGAAAATGAGAATATTGTGAAAAGGTGGAATATTCTCGGCTCAAAGTGTCCCCACTCTAATCAGCTCATTCAGCCATAACACCTGCAAAGGGTTCCTGAGCCTTTAAATGGTCTCTCAGTCTGGTTCAATAGGAATCACAATCATGGGAAAGACTGCTGACCTGACACCATCACTGACACCCTCCATAAGGAGGGAAAGCCTCAAAAGGGAATTGCAGAAGAAGTTGGATGTTCCCAAAGTTGCTGTATCAAAGCACATTAATAGAAAGTTATGTGGAAGGGAAAAAGTGTGGAAGAAAAAGGTGCACAAGGATCAGGGATGACCGCAGCCTGGAGAGGATTGTCAGGAAAGGCCATTCAAAAGTATTGGGGACTTTCACAAGGAGTGGACTGAGGCTGGAGTCAGTGCATCAAGAGCCCCCACACACAGACAGATCCTGGACATGGCTTCAAATGTTGTATTCCTCTTGTCAAGCCGCTCAATGAAACAACAAACAATGTCAGAAGCGTCTTATCTGGGCTAAAGAAAAACAGACCTGGTCTGGTGCTCAGTGGTCCAAAGTCCTCTTTTCTGATGAGAGCAACTTTTGCATCTCATTTGGAAACCAAGGACCCGGGAGTATGGAGGAAGAATGGAGAGGACCAAGGACACCGAGTATGGAGGAAGAATGGAGAAGGCCCAAGGACCCAGTATGTAGGGAGAGAAGAATGGAGAAGGACCAAGGACTCCGAGTATGGAGGGAAGAATGGAGAGGCCGAGGAGCCCGAGTATGGAGGAAGAATGGAGAGGCCCGAGGAGCCCGAGTATGGAGGAGAATGGAGAGGCCCGAGGAGCCCCGAGTATGGAGGAAGAATTGAGAGAGGCCCGAGGAGCCCGAGTTATGGAGGAAGAATGAGAGGCCCGAGGACCCGAGTATGGAGGAAGAATGGAGAGGCCCGAGGACCCCGAGTAAGTGGAATGGAAGAATGGAGAGGCCGAGGACCCCGAGTATGGAGGAAGAATGGAGAGGCCCGAGGACCCCGGAGTATGGAGGGATGGAATGGAGAGGCCCAAGGACCCCGAGTATGGAGAAGGAATGGAGAGGCACAAGGGACCCCGAGTATGGAGGAGGAATGGAGAGGCCCAAGGACCCCGAGTATAGAGGAAGAATGGAGAGGCACAAGGACCCCGAATATGGTTAAATCCAGGGTCACCGCAGGGCCCTTACCAGGGGGATTTTGGAAAATTCAT